ACCTAGAGATGGGAACAGGAAGTTTCCTTGCTGAACAGGCTTTGGCTCAAGGAAACCACAAACAAGCAGCTTCTAAGTCTGTTCATTGTGTGAATACTATTAAAACTTGCTGAGTGTTTTATTAATAATGTGTAATAAGCAAATATTGCAAGTAGAGTTTAAAGAATGTATCAATTATTGCTAAACAGAAGTGCAACTTGGAGTAGTGTACTCCTGATTCTCTTACCTAATTCCCCCTTGTGTTCCAGATGATTTGTACTTGATCCAGAAGAATCGAATGGCTTTATTCCAGCGTTTAACATGTGTACTCCCAATCCTTGGCAGTTTACTGTCGGCTAAAGTTATAACAGAACTTGAGCATGATGTTATTAAGCAGAAGACTCAGATACCATTGCAGGCAAGGGAACTGATAGATACAGTTTTAGTGAAAGGAAATGAAGCAGCCAGCATCTTCAGGAACTGTCTGCGAGACTGTGACCCTGTGCTCTACAAGGATTTATTTGGTATGTCTCTGGTTTCCTTTTGTTTTTAAAGGATATCCTTTTATAGAGGTCTTACCGTGTTCTCACAACAGTCTAAAGAAAAAGAAACAAACAGATGCTGTTTGAACATAGATTAGTTAAATTATAAGGATTTTTTTTCTTTTATTCTAGTGGAGAAGACCATCAAGTACGTTCCCACAGAAGATGTTTCAGGTACCTTAAATTCTACCTTCTATCTTAAAGAAAACTAACAAAAAAAAATTACTTCGGTTAAGAAATAGGTTTGGTGCTTTACCCTCTCTGTAATTCTGCTTTAGTAATATGGACTGAAAAAGTTAACCAAAAGTTAAGTGCTTGTGCATACTTGCAAGTCTATCAGCTATAAGCTGTGTCCTGTGCCTTGCTCATGCTTTTCCACATCACAGGATGTAGAGCTTTCTGGAGCTCAACAATTCGAGAAGCACATGCTGGGCTTGATCCTGATACAAGCGTTCAGGCAGTTGGTAAAGACTGGAGAATGAATAGTTGGTTAGCATTTCAGAACAGGTATCATCTCTGCTTTTCCAGAGTGGGTATAGGTGTCCTGAGATCTAGCTTGACCAACGGTCTGTAGGTAAAAACGTGTCAGACATGAGATTGAGTTTGCTCTGGTCCTGCAGTTTAATCTGTTAATAGACTGCAGAAAAGTATACAAGCCTGGATATAGCCCACTTCCACCAGTCAGGCTGTGTTTGTGTTTCTGATATCCAACCAAGAAAAGTAAAACATTTGCTAAAATGTAAACACTGGTTGGCCTCCAACCCCTGGGCTATCCATCATCTCACAGAACTGGAAAGTACTACAGACTAATTCCTTGCATGCCACTTTCTGAGCTCTAGAAAATGTTCACTGCCATCTATATTTAGTCAATAGAGGTAGGGAAATAAAAGGTGGAAGGAAAGGGGCATGGCTACACTCTAAATAAATACATTTTGATCTCTTCACATATATTCAGGCTGACAAAAACTTACCTTATTTTTTCCAGGTTTACCTATGGAAGAACAATTACGAAGATTGCAAGAGGAAAGAACATGTAAAGTTTGCATGGACAAAGAAGTTTCTATTGTTTTTATTCCATGTGGTCACTTAGTGGTGTGCAAAGAATGTGCACCATCCCTTAGGAAATGCCCTATTTGCAGGGGGATAATAAAGGGTACAGTCCGGACATTTCTTTCGTAAAGAGGGAGATTTGCAAAATGTCTTTGTTCTGCCATACTCCACTGCTGAAGCTTAACACAGCAGTATCTTAAGAATGGAAAACTGTGGTACAGAAAGCTAACAAAAGTTTTGTGAGAGTAAGATGTATCCTCATTATGATGTGTGAATGATTATGTATAGAAGGCCTTCGGTGCCAAAGATTCTCTGTTCATAAAAATAACTCAGTATTAGGGTGAGGTTTTTGTGGCGTTCTTTCTGAGTAGGGAAAGTAGTTTCACTAGTGTCACTTTTATTCAAAGAAGTTTTTTGTTAAGTTCCTAAAATGGAGCTTGGCATAACTCTTCTTTTGAGTTTCCTCCATGTGGATGTGAGGAAATATACTAAAATTGCTGTTATTAATAGTTAATGTTAATTAACTTCAGCTACTTCTGGTTTAGCTTTCTTCTCGACTTAAGGAGAAAAGAGGCTAACTGTTGCAGGAACGGCAGGACTTCTAAAGTTTTTTCATGTCTTTACTTGTGTAATGTATATTACTAACAGTTTTTATGAAGATTGAATTAAAATATTTCTACTTCTCAAACTTGTTTACTCTGTTGCCATTTTTGACTTTTCTCTGTAGCCTGCAGTGACTAGAATGCTGTCTTTTCCTGACAAAAGTTTGGGGTTGTTTGCCTGCAATGGTACAGTAAAACTTCATTCCATTTGTCTTCATTTTTGAACAGGGAAGTGAACTTCTCTGCTGTTTGGTGATTTCTTTATTTAAAAACAAACAGTAGCCCCCTAAAACCACAACAGCATCTGGTACTTCCTTCTGAATTGATTTTTCAAATGACAGAAATCCTGGTCCTTGTGACCTTAAAGATGAGACAGAGGGTAGCCATACCGTCTGTGCTAGGGATTAAATGTAAAAGCTACTTTTCTGTGTTTGGAACTTTATAGGGATTGTGCAGTTAAATAACAGGATCTCCCAGGCACCTCTGAAGTCTTGGATTTTGTTTTTGTAAGCTGATATTTTGGGAGCTCCTATTCCCTTACTGGTTGACTCAATATACGAGCAGGCAGACTTTTTAAGCAGTGCATTTTTCTTTAGAACTGTGTGGGGTGAGAGTTTTTCAGACACTGCAATTAACTACATATAAATCAGATGAGAGGATATTCAGGGCTTTAAAAAGTGTTCAGTGTCATTTGTGATGCCTGTGTGTATGTCCCTCAGGTCCTGCAACACCAGTCAGCCCATCACCGAATGTTTTGAGTATCCCTTCAAAGAGCAGCTTCAAACAGCACCAGCTCTCTGCACTAGGCACCTGAATTGCTTTGAGAAGTGGAAGAACTTGATTTAGAAACTAGTGGGTAAAACTGTGACCTAGTTTTGGCAGGAAGGCTGATGTAGGTTATGACTCTGCTACACCTCGCTATAATGACTGGATGCCCTGATTAATAATGTGAGCATGTGAGCACTTACGCTCTCCTTATGACTACTCCAAGAAAGCTCTAGTCAGGCTTGTCTGCAGGACATTGCAAACACCCCTGGCAAAAGGTTTAACCATGGGTAACAGTCTGGTGTTTCACTGGGAGAGGGTCAAGTGACTTCTGTCACTTGTGAACCAGCTGACCATGCTCATACTTCATTCTGCATTAACTTCCTTCTTTGAAAGCATTTTCCAGAGCTCTGACAGGGTTAAACAATAAACAGGCCTCTACCCCAGCACCCTGTGCAGTTCTGCTGACTGAGCAGCTCAACTTCTTGGACATCAGTGTTTCAGCCCCATGGCTTGTCATGAGGTGACAGTGTGTTTGCAAGGCTCTTAGAGGGTGTGGAGGATGTGAACTTCAGGATTGTTGGAATTTAGTGGTCAGTCTTGCTGTGGGATGCAGATAGAAGGGGTATTGCATACATCCTGTGTCTGGAGCACAGCAGTATTCCCAGCTGGAGCACAACATTTTTGGAAATAACACTGCAGCTGTGAGAACCACCAATTGGGTCTTCAGTGCTGTCTAGAAAATTTTACTTTCTCCACACATCCATTCTCATTCCCTCTGCTTCCATATCACAGCTAAATTCTTAACCTCTTGAGTTCTCTAGGCAATTTCCAGTCTCTGATGCCCTTCCAGTTAGCTTTTGGTAATAATGTCACATTGTTGCTTACATCTTTTTCAACAAAACATATTAAGAATGCTATGTGATGTTTCAGGGCAAAAACAGGGTGGCATGAGTACTTAAGAGCTCTGAACAAAGAAGAAAGGTTTGAAATATTTACAAAAGCATACTGTTAAAATTACTGTTCAAGTCACAGCAGCATGATCTTGCTAAATCTAACAGTATGGATGTTTTGTTTTTTTTTTAATAAAAACAAGTATAGCACTGCAGCATTTCCAGACTGCTTTGAAGCCTTTGATGCAGAGCCCCATCAAACATCAAACCAATTATGCTGGAAGTGCTACAATTTGGTACTGGAATACAGGCTAAAGGAGAGCTGCATAAAAAGGAAAGACCCATGGGTTGAAGGCAGAATGCTGCAGCCCTGAGCTGTGACTGTAAGGTTGATCTTGATGTGTTTGAAGGGCAAAAGTAACATTTATGAAAGCCAACCTAAGCTGCCCATGTTCTGTAGTCAGTGACTGACTCCCCCAGCCTGTACTGTTAAATAAAAACACTTTACCATGAAGCACAAACCCATGAATATGAAGGGTAAAATGTTTGCATAGGGGCTGTGTGAAAGAGCTGCAATAATGAATCGAATGCTGGTAAAGGGCTTAAAACGTGACCCTGCAAATGCAGTTCCTTGATGTGCCAGCAAAGGATCTGCCTCCTAAGGCAGTCGGAATTGGGAACTGCCTTGCTCGGCCACCAGCGCTCAGAGAAAACACACATAGAGCGGACAGACTAGAAACAATTGAATCATCCTTACAAGTATTAGTAAACTCAGTTAATGAAGGGCTGAATGACCATAGCATCAGCTCCCTTTATAAACGAGTGACCAAGCCGGGGTTTCACTTCCTGTTGGAAAGGAAAAATAAGGTAAAATTCAACTGCACTGCCTTTGTCTAGATTTCAAACAACTAGAAAGGAGGTCTGGTTTTATTTTTGCACCGACACTTCTAGAGTCTTAAGCACATACTTTTGCTTTACTGTAGTAATTATATTACAGAATAAATTAGAAATTATTCAACTAGGCAAAAATGAACTAGGTCTGGTATTCTGGCATTTAAAAGTATATATATATATATAGGGAATACTTCTTATCAAATGTTATGACTGTGGAAAGGACTAAGGGAATTACAAAAGCAGATAATGTATTAAAAATTCAATTGAAATTAATGTAGTAACTCCAAAGATTTAATTTTATTTGTCTGTACAGCAGAGGGGAGACAATCCCAGTTGCACTTAACTATCTTAATTTCTATAAAGTAAGGAATTACAGTTCTATAAAAGAATTGTTTCCGTAACTCTTCAAGTCAAATCCAGTAATATTCCACCAAACAATACAATTAAGAAAAAATAAAAATGTTACTTCAACTCACTCTCCCCTGACCCTCAAACACAGTAAAAAAATGAAACATCCCTGTTACCGCCTTTTCAGGTGAGTAGCTAGTAAGATGATTCTTTAGCCATGGTTTGCCCATACCTTGGAAACAGTTTTACTGTGAAAAAGGAAAAAAAACCCTTATGGCCACTTTAACATTGCATGTCAGAATAAACTACTGCTTAAGAAATTAATCCGTTCCGGAGTAGTTAAACTTTCCCTGATAAGTTGTTCCCCAGCCCCCAACAGACCAATGTGCAGTTCCCACTGTGACTTTCCTTGCCTGTCACCATCTCCCCTGTGCCCAGCAGGAGGCACTGGTGCCAGCAGTAACCAGGACAGGCAAACCCCACACATCAACCCTCTTCAATGGGGACGGGTCTGCAAGTGAAGCCTGAGCAAGACTGAACAATCATTCAGTGACTTAAAGAGATGCAGGCCTGTGTTTCCTGATCCTTGTTCTTGTTTTCCTTACAGCAGTGTAAGTCACGAGCCCATCTACTGAAGTCAGCAGATTAATATGAGTGGACCTGCAGAAGTGACATAGGAACAGGACCAGCCATCCTGCACAGGACCCTCAAAGCATTTGAGCCTTCAGCTAAAGATGCCCCAGTGCCTTCAGCTGGGCTTCTGACCAGGCCTCTGTACATCTGTGCAGCAGGATCAAGTTCTTGAAATAGCTGTAAAAATGCAGTTTATAGTCTGCTAAAATGCTGTCTTACAGTTTTCCCCTTCTTTATATAACTTTGAACGATTATCAAATGCTGCTAAAACACTAGAGACAGCTTCATACTAAAAACCAAGAGCCAAATTATTGCTAACTTCAACTTTAAAGCAAATTTAATTTTTTTTTTATATTTATAATGGCACAATTACTTTTCTCTATTTTCATTAGATCTTCAATTGCACAAGCTTCATTATGCCATGCTAGAAAAAAAGAAGCTTTTAGAGAAAAGGGTTATGGATGGATACTTCCATTCTGTCCATGTTTCTTGCAGCTACTCTCCTTATACAGCCTATTAAGGAAAGCACCTGCATCTCATGGTAAGCTAATGACTGACATTTAGAGTAATCATTCTATTCACTTCTGTACAGTTATCTAACCACAACTCCTTTGAAGCCTATTAAAAATTAAATGAGTTGTTCAAAACCTGAAATTTCTAAACTAAAGTTCACATCAAACTTCAAAATAAATACAATTTAATACAAAATTTTAGGAAAAATACCCTGAACTTAGAATTGCACTGATGCAATTGCCTGTGCTAGTAATTAGCTATTTCAGAGCTGTGTGTGTACCTTAAAATGACTCAATAGGTGATTTTCTCTAAATCTGGTTACAAGTACTGGAAAAAGAAAATACTGTCTCTACAAAATGCCAAGTTCCTCTTACAAGAGCCAGTGTAAAAAATCAAGATGTTTAAAAGCTTCTCAACATGTTGCAGGATAACACCCAAGACCAGTTTAGAGACTGGGATAATCTTTATGAAAGTCACTCTTCCAGAAGTTATAACAGCTATGACAAGGTGGGCTTCCAGCACTGCCTTTTCTGAAGTCTCCTTTAAATGATGGCATCGTGTTCATCACTGTAACAGAAACACAGTAATTATGTTCTACACTACAAGCAAGTCAACATGAGAAAGAGCCACCCAGATTCTGCTGAGAAGGTTATTTCTCAGCAGAATTTCTGAGAATTATTTCTGAGCAGAGGACACCTTGCTAGGAAGGAGTAAGGACACATTGATCTGGGAGTTACAATCCTCTCTGAGACAAGTCTGAAGTTAGCTGAATAGTTTTCCTCCAGCTTCACTGATCTCATTACCACCTTGTCTTTCACATGTCATTCATGTATTCTTACATCAGCTGTTGCTCAGGCCTGTTTATCCTGTCTTACCCATAACCAGTAGTAAAGTTAATCAAAGCCACTGCACAAACTCAGCAGCAGGTTCCCTTTGTTTTGAAGATGCTGTTGATGTGAATTTTACAATACCCATTGTCCTAGACTGCATCACAAACACCACTTCAGGTAAAGGTGCAGCAGGGACTGGCCTCATTCCATAACCAGTAAGGAGGAGTCAAGATAGAAAAAAAAAGCCTGAACACCAGTATCCCAACAGGTCTAATGACATCACCTCACTTAAAACCAGCTTCTTGACTGAGATGGATGACACTGAAAAGGAAATAAAAAGCAAGCTAGCTCTTAAACTAAATGTGGGTAGGTCCTGAAGCCTGGAGTAGAGCTGAGCATAAAAGCAAGTGAGATGGTAAGATAAAAAATTGGTAAGGATAAGAAACTTTGATTAGAATTCACTATACATTAATGGCAAGGGGGAGAAAAACACCAAAGAATGAACAGACAAACAGAGTCTAGGAAAAAGAAGAAATCTTGCAAACTGCAGAAACTTTCAATGAAATGTTAACTATTCATGGACAGGCTAAAAGACAAGGATCATTTTAAAAAGAATAAAATTATTTTATATAATAGATCAGAGAAAAAATAGCAGAAACTTTCAATGAAATGTTAACTATTCATGGACAGGCTAAAAGACAAGGATCATTTTAAAAAGAATAAAATTATTTTATATAATAGATCAGAGAAAAAAAAAGACACAGGAGAGAGGCATAATGAGGAATGGCAGAAGTGGTGAAAGACAAAACAACAGAGTTACATCTCTTAATTATATTAATATAATGTACATTAAAGAAATGTGTGAATTCATTCTACCCATTTGGTTTTCCTTTTTGCCCTCAAGAAAGTAATAAATGGTCAAGGGACGACCCCTTGGGAACTTACATGGTTCTGTACTGAATGCCTCTTCTGGAGTGGTAAGTTTTGCATCCAATGTAGAGAATGACTAGGACTCCAAGAGTCAGCACAATGCCACCTACAAAACTGCCCACATCAAATCTGGAGGTTTTGACAGCCTCTGATTTTGATGTGGCTGGAAAGAAAACAAAAGGCATAATTTACAGAGCTTGCAAAATTGTGTTTTGAGGGACTACTCTACATCCTGCCCTCACCATTGATTTATCACCTCAAGACCCACTTAGACAACCAAGATAACTAACAAGACACAAGCCAAGCACACAAATGTAGGGCTCTGATTTTAAGTGCCATATTTTGGTGACATGGGTACAGCTGATCCAACTGCTTGATGTCTCTTCAAGACTAACTGTTCCTTCTCCCCACCTCCCTTTTCCCCCCTGCCTTTTCTCTCCCCTGCTATCTCCTCCTTCTCTACATGGAGCTCCTGCTCTTCTTAGGCCAGTTCTAGTGTTTTTCATACTCTCCATGAACCAATTTAACTCACGAAGGTGGCCTGAAATGAACCCAAGCATAAAAGGAAGCTGCTTTCATTCAGATGAGCATAGTGAGTCATCCTGCAAGAGGGGTCCAACAGCCTCCAAGTCCATCATTGTAGTGGGAACACAACACTTGGTGTTTGCTTTACCTTGTCTTATGGAACTGTACCCTCACAGTCCCAAGTGAGATCAGCTCTGCAGCCTGACACAAACATTGACAGAGACAACATGGCCTCAGATAAGCCACAGCTGTTTCGCTGCTAGAACTGGTTACATCTGCTACAAACTCCCACCTGAAGACCAGTTTGTGCTCAGTTGTATTTGTACTAGCTACATACAGAGTGTTACATGATCAAGTTCTTCTGCTGACACCTTCACCTACCCAATGATGCTTCACTGGTATGTGAGCACTCCTGATGTGTTCAGAAGTGCAAGCATGAAGTGATGGGAACACAGCCAGCCAAGTGCAAGAAAATACTGAATTCTGCAGTCACTGTTTTTGTATTACCAGGTACACTTAAACTGTATTTGACAACTTGTACATAAAGGGTGACTCATGCACAGTCATGCTCTATTCTCTGTTGGGGTAACATTCATTACATTGCTAGCAGAACTCAGTCTTTTTACCAAGCCAGTAGATATATTCTGAGATACAGGTCAGCTGTGGAAAAGAAGTATTAGCGAAGAGTTCAAATAAACTGCAGAAAGGAGAGCTGAACAAACACAAAAGTTGTATATAAAATTGAGGCTTTCTCCTTTACATTGCTGATGGCTGCTGGATAGGACCACTTGTACTTTTTTCCCTAAATCCAACAGGTCTCTCAGTAAGTGGAGTGCTCAGAGCAACATAATTGTATGCAGCTTAGTAATGAACTCCCACTTTAGGCTTGTTTTTTAGCATGCAAATAGCTTCCTTCTTCTTTCTTTTTACGCTGCTGTCAAACTAACTGTTCTACAGCCCAGGTGAACGTGCATCCGAGCCTTTATGAGCTTCCTGAACTGTGAACTCACCTGTTACAGAAGTGGAGGAAGGCTTAGAAGTGGTCACTACTGTGCTGTTGCCTTGTGGCGACGTGCCTGGTGAGGCTGTGGTGGGTGTCCCTGTCTGGCTGGTTTTGGTAGTCTGAATTGTCAGGGTCACAGACGTGGTGGTGCTGTTGGGCTGACTGGTACTGGTGAGATGAGTAGTACTGCTGGACACACCTGGGAATTTTTGTGATACCACACAGAAAAATTCATCAAAATGAACAACTGTACACTCATTGAGTAAGACCACATATATTATGCCCAAAGAGAATGACAGAGTAACAATAAAAATGCCACTGCATGGTATCCAGGCTTGCATACAGAGTTTCCTTTGGGAAGACCGAACTTCTGATTTCTGAGCCTCAAGGTCAGAAATTCTTTAAAGGAAAAGCTATAAAGAAAACCTGGATAATATACGATGACTTTTAGGTGAGTCAGCTTTTTTTTTTTTTTTTTTGTAAAAACTCAGTTCCATAGAATGATGCCCAACTTACAATATGTTAAAATGAAATAAAATTCTGGATCAAGAGTTACTTTCTATTTGAAGTGCCTACATTTTCAGACCACAAAGCTTTTCTGATAAGAACAGGGTTTGTATAAAAGCACCACCCCCGAGTTTTAATAATGATTTGATCTTTCACTTACTTCTGAATGAAACACTAGCATTACTAGGGTTCCATATACATTAAAGCACACCACAGAGAATTCTATATTTATGTCATAAGGATAAAACATGACAAAATTTCAGCTAAAGTGAATGTACTGCTTAAGTAATTTATCTAGTCTTGCCAAGGTTAAAACAAAGGCTGGAACGCTTTTTCTCAAGTTTCATTGATGTAATGTTTTTACTTTTACTTAACACTTCCCCTTCTCTCCTCAGAAAACACTAATGAACTTCAGAATAAAAATACCATGATACAAAACTCAAGAATAATAGAAATTGCTATTTATAGCAAAATTCTTAGAACTTTCATGAAAGGCCAGATAGAATTATTGTAAAACAATTATTTATTTTTCTAAGAAGGAACTAACAAGAAACATGAGTCTATTATGCAACTAACATTTCTCCAAGCAGACAGTAGGATGCAAACAGCTTTTATGTATGAAAGAATTATAGAGGAAAACAGCTCCTTTGCAGCTGTCTACTTCTGTATTATTTCTATAGCTTCACACAAGCTAGGCTCATTTTACACACCTCAAAAGCTTTTCAACATGGAATTCCAAATATGTCATTATATCCATGTTTTCTTGAAATTGTCTAAAATTAGAAAAATTGAAGGATAATTTCATCTCAATTCTAGAGTAACCGTGATACTCAATTTCTGCCCTTTTTATGCAGCATTTAAAATGTAGAATAAAATGTGTTGTGTAAAACATGAAGAATTACATACAAATCTGTGTCTTTGCTAAGATTTAAGTATTACAGCTTCCAATGCTGATATAAGCATCAAAAACTTAAAAAAAACTCATCAATATAGCAATGTAAATATGCAGAAAGGAACTCACCTACACAGCACTTCTGAAACATTTAGCATTAAAACTACTAAAATACTGAAATACAGAATCCTTTGTAAATGTTGTTTTCCTGTTCTTTCATGTTATAACTTATTGTGCCATAAATCCAGAAAACCCTTTGAAATGAGCATGCATTGTGATGGAACAATTGGAACACTATATTCATTTGCTTACCTTGTTACAATTACCAAAATTCAGTTCCTCTATGAAGCATGCGTAAAATACATCAGATAAAATTCAGGGCATATTTTAATACTGACAGGTAAAACTCCTCGAAGGCACAATGATACATAAATATCAAATGGTTCCTCATTGTAGGAAGCAAGCAAGGAAATGTTTACATGAAACCATCTACAGTTACATGACATGAAACCACACCAGGTAAGTACATTCCTACATAAGTGACACCAAAGGAGGACAGATCTGGATGCAAGTGTCAAGCAGTTTTCTGTGGGTGGGTTGTTTTTGAGCTGAGATTTCTGAGTGTCAATGAGCCTTCTGTTTCCGAGCAATACAATGGCTAACTGTTAGATGTATAACATTATAAAATGATGTTACACAAAGTCACACTGGACATTAAATTTCATAATTAAATTACGAAACGTGAGTCATGATGAAAAAAATCCAAATCTATGAGGAATTCCAGCACATTTGCACATAACTTTTCCCCCCCCCCATCTTTTCTAGTAGTAATTTTTTTTTTTTTTTTTTTTTTTTACTTAATCAAGATTACAGCCATTAAAATCTGTCTAATCTCTAGACCTATCTTTCATTATGTATTTAGCATCAGGCATTTCAAAACATCATTGGGAGGCTATCTCAGGCAGCTGGTGAATTTGGGAAGCTGACATGAATCAGGCATTAACCTGCTCTTCTTCATCTTTGAAAAATCTTACCCATATTTTACAAACAGAGTGAAGATGAAAGAATATTTGCTAGCAACATCCGCCCTTTTATTTCCCTAATTACTTTCCCCCCAAAAGATCAGCTGGGCTTCATCAAACACTACACTAAACAAAAAATAACTCGGGCAGTCAAGGTTTATTATTTTAAAAGGATGCATACCAGTAATATAGTTCAGGTTTATGATGCTTTGTTTTTAAAACAGACAAGTATTTTACATAGTTTGCTATGTAAGTATTTAAGTATTTAATTAAGTATTTAATTAAGTATTTAATATGTTTAAGTATTAAATAGCTATGCTATAATCATAAATAAAAAAATATATACGCCATATAGATAAGAATCCTTAGAGCACTAAAGGAGTAGGAGCATGTACTGCTAACTCAAAAAGAATGAGCACAAAACTCAAATTGTATAAGCACTGTGCTAACATGCAAGACTATTATGGAATGCCCTTCCTAAAATAAATACTTTCTCTTGCATGGAAAATGATTGAATGAAAGAGACTTTTGCTTCCTTCTTCCCCCTCCCAAAAAATAATGGCAAAGACTTTAAGCAAAATTAAGTAAGTACATATACCCTCTAGCATTTATTCTGAAGAGGTTGGGACAGATATTCAAAACACATAAACGCTGTATTAAAATCTATGACATTTCTAATGGAAAAAAAAAAAACAAACAACAAAAGGATAGGAATTGCTAAATCTTGCAAAGCAAGGCACAGGTCTCTGTTATTTATCCTATGCCTAGCAGTAAAGGGCTCAGGCCTCGTTTTAGTTTTATTATCCAAAACTAGTAAAACTCAGACCTCTCCAGGAAACCTGCAAGGGCTGGAGCAGAAGTCAGAAGGAGAACAGAGTGGGTGAAACACCGTGGCTTCACACACTTAGGGGATGGCCATAAGGAAACAAAGAGATTACAGAAATCTCTGGACTTTCCAAGTTAGACATGCTTGAACTGCTACACTGCAGGCAATGGAATGACACACTGCACCACTTGCTTGCTATCTAAAGGAAAGTCCTTGCAAAGGTGGTTTTTTTTTTTCTTCCAGTGAGTATTTTATACTTAAATTTAAAAAACAAGCAACTTCTGAGTGTGTTAGCTCAGAGTTTATCTGGAAATTACAGAGACAAAATATAAGAGTTGTATTAGAAATGAAATTACATATCTAGGACTTTACAATCAGCACAAAACCCCACAAATACACAAAGCATCTTAAGAAGACACAACATTTCTGCTCTGCTTTCACATAGCTCTTAGCACAAAGGAGCCTCAGTCTCTAGCTTCTCTCAGATGCAATATTCTATCTGGGCATCACAGCCTGAACAACTGCATGACATTAATGCTTATCCAGCCCTTACTAATGCAGTGAAATCTGCCTGTGCAAGTTCTTCAAGAAGATGAATGTTTTAACTCCTTTAACTCCCTTTTTTAACTTACTTACAGTTGTTTTGAAGGAAATACAGTAGTGCTAGAACAATGAAAACAGACTCATGACAAATTGCTCCACTTGACTGATACTGGCTTAAATGTTTCTATTTCGTGCTAGGACCTCTCTAAGGATTATTTTCTATGGTGCAGGAAATTACTTTAAGTTGTGCCAGGGGATATTAGAAAAAAAATTTCACTGAAAGAGTGGTTAGGCATTCGAATAAGTCGCCCAGGGAGCTGGTGGAGCCACCATCTCTGGAAGTGTCCAAGAGAAGCCTGGATCTGACACATGGGGATATGGTTTAGGGGTGATTATGGCAGTACTACACTGATGGCTGGACAGATAATCTTGAAGTTCTCCTCCAACCTTGATGGTCCTGTGATTCTATGAGTTTTAAATAAAAGGAAATGGAGTCCTACTCTTGAAACTCAAGCTCCCAGGAGTTCATTACACCCTAAATCTGTTTATTCTGAAATAACATTAAACAGATATGCACTGCTTGCTTAACAACATATTCATCTTTACTTCACGAAAATGGAAGAAGCTTGCTTAAAGATGAAGAATAAACATTAAAAAAACCCAACTTCTTTCAATTTTTCCTTGAAGTTAAATTTTGATTCCTGTGTTTAAACAGCATCACAAATGTAATTACTAACGAAGTATGGCACCTAAATTTGAAAAACAATATAGCTTCTTTTCAGAGTTGTTTTACATGTTGCTTCCCAGCCTTAAAATGGTAACACCTGTCTCACATACCCACTTTTGATGGCCTGATCTTTTGAACTTGGCATGATCAGAGTTAGGTTGGGAACTAACTTCTAGGTTCACAGTAATGAACAGATACATACCTCCTGTAGATGTTGCTGTGGATTGTGTGGATGATGCAGTGACAATTGGTGAAATACTATTGTCTTTAAGGGAAAAAAAAAAAAAAAGCAACAAGAAAATCACTATTATTCATTTTAATTTTAACATACTATAATTAAGTTATCCACAACACAATACTGTCCTCAGGGAATCTGTGCCTGGAGATGGGAATACAGCAGAGAGTGACCCATCCCAAAGCAGATGGTTTTTATCCCTGGAAGCAAAATGCTTCCAGATCTCAGTGCAGCAAGAACATAGTTAACAGTGTATGCACAGCAGTGCCCAAATGGCTTGCATCTGATTCTTTGCACATCCTCTGTTGATTGTCTTCCACTTCTATGTCATGTTTTATTCCGTCTGCTATAAAATAGCCATACTGTCACTAACCTTCTTAATCTACTTATGCACTATGAGAGAAGGCAGCTTTTTATTTTTATTCCTCTATTTCAGTTCTATTTTCTGTTCCTTGATCTCTTCTTTTATTTTGTTGCATTTCTGTTGCAAACTGGGATGATACTGCAGCCAGGTAGGGGCAGACAGATACTCTGAGAAACATGTCACTGCATACTTAAGTTCTCTACACAAAAAAGTCCCAAGAATGTACCTGTTTCCAGACATAAAATGTAATCCAGTCTTAGTGGTTTTACCTTTCTCATTTGTTTCACTTCTCCTTTTCCAGTTCTCTTTTTCTTGTCCCTCCTTCCTCCTTACAGTCCTCCTTCCTTCTAGGCTTCTCAGGCACGCTCCCACTCACTTCTCTCCACACTGTTGCATGCCTCTTCTGTATTTCTCACAGATTACACGTCCTTTCCTCCTGGCAAAGATCTACTGGGCTGTTCCTGCGAGTGTCACTGCCCATATCTTCCTCCCTTCATTCTGCACTGTTGTGAAAGCCCATTCTATGATCACTCCTTTCTCTGAAGTAAGTCATCTTTTACAGCACCCTCCCACACTGGCAGGGTTATGTGCCCTGCAGCAGCTCTGCTGCTTTTCAGCGTGGCTGAAGAATAAACCATATAAACTCAGAGATTAGGAGGAGAGCAACAGAGCTACTGCAATCAAGAAGCAGACCTACACTTATCTCCTCTGAATGGATCTACTGTTCTTACCACTGGAAAAGTCTAGTCTGGAACTCTTTGCAATTGCATACATTATGAGAAAGGTCCAGTTAAGAACAAATGCATTAAATTTACATCTTCATACCAAAAAATGGTGGGGGGGGGGGGGTGTGTGGAAATTACAGAGGGCATTACTTTGCTTTTTGTTTGGTATAATCACAGCCAAGAAGCCCCCCACACTGTGTACTGCACAATCAACTCTTATACTGACTCTTATAACTGGGGCATTAAGTTGCAGATTTAATTGCCTTTGAGAAAGGATCTATGATTGTACAATTACAAACACATTCTTTCTTGCATATGTTGACTTTTAGCCCAGTATAAGCCATGGATATGTCTGGGGTTAAATATTTTCCACACAGGCCCAATACTGCAACCAGAACACATCTTTGAGTTTTCCCCATGTTCTAAGTGCTTACTTCGGCAGCCCTGGGACAGCTCTGGATGTGGACTGCATGTTCATACAGGTAAAAAGAGCCATATCTACTGCCTGGAATTTGGGTGTGAGTCAATGTTGCAATTAACACAAGACAGAGTGAGTTAATGAGCAGAGTATCGCTGGCCAACAGCAAATGAGATGACTGAAGTAGTACAGGGCAAAAATGACTCAAATGAAAAAATGCTCCGCCTTTATCTGAAGATCACTGAATTCTAATCTAGCAGACTTCTTGGTTCTCCTTTTTAACCGTAAATTGACATTGCCAGGAGTTTCTAGTTCTATACACAGTATTTTCCCATTTTATTTCTCCTCTCTCTGTTGCTCTGGGGTACCCAAGGATATGAGAATTGAATCATGTTTTAACGTTCCCCTTAAAAATCTTTAGTTGTCTCAGAATAGATGTGGCAATCAGAGTACCTCCCTCCTGCCCTACAGCTGCTCAGAATTCTATAGAATAAAATAAAGGGCAAATTATTTTTAAGGCACACAATAACACATACTGTTTTTCTTGATGCTATTGAGGAACAGTAACAGAAATGTCGGAAGTATTACCTGGCAACCTACTGCCTGGAATTGGAGTAGTGCTGTTCACGTTGTTAGTGCCGTTTGTGACTTCATTACCTACATTTAAAAACATAGGAATAGTAAGATTGTTTTAGGTGGAAGAAGAAAAAAAGGTTCAGCATCTGCCACTTGCTTTGGGCATATAAATGACTAATTTACCATGGACAGGAGTCGATCATGATGATGATATAAAAGCACATTAGCACAACAGCCTGCTCAGAGTGCATTAAAGGTGACATAATTTATACTACCCAATCACCAAATGAACTGAAACTCCTCCCATCGTTGTGTTATCTTTTCCATCATCCCCATCCCAAGTTTTCATCTTCCTTGAGATGAAATGAGACTGAAAGAGGCAAAAGACCAGGCACTTTCTTTCAGTAATAACATCTGACCTACATCACCTACAGCAGAAGAGAAAGAACTTCTCACTTCTATCTCTTCCTGTGAAGTTTGCCAGGCCTTTTTAGGCAGATAGGTGCTTCTCTGGCCCTAAATGGACAACAGCGATAACACAATTAGCTCCACTAAGAAGTAACATTATTCAGTTTGGGACTAAGGGCACGTTAATGCATCCACTGAGCATTTGGAAGGTGGGGAATGGGACTGAGGATCATACCTCCAAATTAATGATAAAATTTAAAGATAAACCACAGAGAATGAATAGACTGACATTCACAGACATACAAGATGATCAATTGTGGATTCTTCCTTTGACAAACAGTTTAATTCTGATCACCTAATATCGTGTAAAAGACAAGCACATAACCTGAACTGAGTATCACAGAAATAGGGAATTTTCTTCATGCTTACAAAACCTTAGTCAAAGTCTCAAAATGGTGAAGTTTGCAAATACAAATGGCAAAATAACTTATTGTATCTCATCCCTACAATCTCAAGACTGAGGGCAGCACTGCAAAGTATGTTACACTGTTTAATTAGGGAGATTAGGGAAAACAAACAAACAAAGGATAGGACACTCCTAAACTAAGCTTCCCCAGAGAGGACCCAATCCTGCAAAAACTGTTCTATATCACAGCAAGTTCCCCCACATTAAACAATGATCTGATTGGGAAAGCTAAGCCACCACAAAACTGACATTACATTCCTCTTCAACAGCACACAATGTTTTTTTCTGCAGAAAAATTTTTCAACCAGCAGAAAGGACTTGGTATGTAATTACCTAAAAGAGAGAGGCAAGAAACAGAGGTGGAAGTAAAGGCAGGACTGTATTAGTTTAGTTCAGATCAGCTTGGACTGCACACCTTGAAAGATGTCGAAGACCTTATCCAGCCTGAAAGATGCTTATTTTTTTTTTTTCCTTCTTAACAAACCCAAACACTGGTAAGTTTCTTAGTTTGAATAACATGCATTGGCTCCAGAATACAAATACTCCTTAAATGGAGTTTTGCATAAGCATATTCCATATTGGAACACATGGTAGTGAATGGGACAAGGGAGATAAAAAAACATCTTAAAATGATACTAGTCCCAAAGTGTTCTCTACCCTGAGACTGTGCCTTTGAATATGAAGCTGCATGTATCACTGCAGCTGCAAGCAGGAAACTTCAAACAGAGGCAGTTAAGGACTCCTAGGTTAAGCAAAGCAAAAAGCACCACAGCTTTTATGCAGTGATGGCTCTGACAAGTAGAACTTCTCATCCCAGACCACAGGATTCACAGTTCAACTGTCCCAAAGCACAACAGGGAGGGGTTCTGGCCTTCTCCAGGAAGCAGAAGGGGAAGGGTTAGAAATCCACACTGACCCAGGTGTAGACACACGGGGCCAGCACAGGAAGGAAGCGGGGAGAGAGGCAGCAGGCAGCTGCAGCATCCTGTGCACAAGCAGAAGCTGAGCTCTTGGGGCCACAGCATCAGCTACAACATCAGGCCTATGAATCTTAAGCAGAGATTAAGAAACTCTGTGCTGAGGTCTATTCTCCCTTTGTCCCAGAAGAGAGGGACAGAAAGAAATGATCTCTTGTTTTCATTTTGCCTTATTAAAGAACCAACACAAGGATATACCCAACTTAAAACTGGATCAGAGCAGCACAAACTGGAAAAAGACAGAGATGGCAGGATCAACATGATTTTTGTCCAACAACTCTGTTTTGCTCTGTTTAAGGTCAGGCACAGGTGCAGCTAAAAAACCACAGAACTGTGGCTGGTTGCGGTGTATCTGAAGGCAATGTGCTTCCTGTGAAAGCCCCTCAGAGTTTGGCATTTCAAGTGCTTCCAGGGTCTCTTGTGGTTTTGTTGTTGTAGTGCATCAAAAGTCACGAACTGGAGACAATCTTGATATGCAAACTTTCAAAAGGGCAAAATCAGCCCAATTATTCCTGTTTCATAGCTGGAATTGAGATTTCTGAAGTCGCAGAGACTGAAGATTTGTGCTTGTGTGTTAAACAAATACATACAGAGTGAGTGATAAGGGCAGCTCTGATACCTGCTAAAAATGAAAAGGACAAGATGTTAAATGGACTTGATTTTGCCAGGTCCTGCAAAAATCACACACTGGAAAATAGTAATTTGGAATCTGTCTTCTCCAGCTTAGACACATACCAAATTACTATTCTCCATAGCTGAACCCTGGTAGATGGAACCTACACAAATGAATGGCAATAGTCAGTCAACTACCTGCATGTGACAAAGGTCAATTTGTTCACTCCAACCATCACTTAAAAGATAAACTCATTTCTAAGGGCTCACATACTTTATGTCTAGTGTAGCTAAACTTTATGCTGCAGAAAATGTTGGTACATAAACTCTCATTTTTAATAAGCACAGCTTTACATATTCATTTTGGAGACATGGCAAAAGTCTTATATAAAGCTCTCTCAAAAGCAGCATGCGTTTCAAGCTTAAGGCATGGAAGGCACAGAGGGTAGTTTTATGCCCATCATTCTGTTGTTGTTGGTTTAAAACCCCAAAAGTACAGAAGGACTGACAATGTGCACTCCAACAGAAAGATCACCCACTTGCTCAGTAATGTCTAAGATACCCAGATGAGGAAGAGTTGAGGTGCTGGAATGGTTAAAGAGATCTTAGAGCAATATGAATATAACCTCTTCTAAGAGCAGTGTTTTCAGGCCTGGAGGCTGCTGCTGCTGCTTTTAGCTGTTTTTACTGTGAGTAGTTTTATGTACAAGTAAGTTCTTGGAAGATGTCACTAGCAATCTTTTCTCAACACAACAGGAAGGGGGCGGGGGCCACTTCCTGACAGGGAAAGGGGATTCTCCTTTGTCAGGTACCAGGAAGACAGATGGATTTTACATAATAGTGGGAAGGATTTTTTCTAAACCATATTATTCTGGTTAAATAACGTTTCTTCCACTGACTTGACTGACAAATAGAAATAAACTGTCCAGCAGAGTAAAAGAGCAGCATTATATTGAAATAACCAGACTGCACAAAAATATTAACTGGAGTGAGACACATCCACTGCCACTTTCACTTTTTGCATATCGGAGTCTTTGATGGGGTTCACACTTCCTCCTGTAGTGTTGATTAGATAATCACAAATATCTGCTGAAATCAACACAAATCTCAGCAGCACGTTCTGGAAGCTTCTAAGTGTACAGAGGAGGGGGGAAAAAAAAGCTATTTCAACAGCTACATTAAACTTAGCCTTAAAAGGGCACAACTTCTTTCAACAAATCATAACTGAGCTCCTGACAACCAATTCATATACAGAGGAAGGACTACAATTGAGTTTCAGGAGTTGCAAGAGATCACCCCTGCCCCAGGAGACAGCAGTGACTGTATTTTTAGTTAAATCACCACATGCACTCAGGAAGCAACATGATAAAAGACAGTTCAGGGCAATCTCATATCACATGAAATGACAGGCTGTTGTTGTTAAATAGAGGCCATAAGATCTTAGCAAAGCAATAAACAGGTTACTTGTTAACTCCTTTTAAAGGAACTTGCCCTTCTTTTTGGAAGGGCTATTATAAAGCTGTTTACATTTCTCATTTTAATTTTTTAAAATCAATTTATATTACAACTTTACCAGTTTAAACAACAGCATATTAACACTGAGATTCCTCGGCAGTATTTACAGCAGGTCAATTCCAGTACCCACCATCTTTTGGCTTCTTTACTTTTGAAAATTGGGTGGCACCGTATGCCAAACTTCAGTCTTCCGACAAGGCAACCCTGGCAGCTCAAACCTGTACGTTTCTCGGCTTATTTCAGAGCCTCTCAACGCTGATCCCCTGACTGCGGTGTGCTGAGCACGAGGCTGTGCATTTGCTAGAACCACCCACTAGAAAGGGGCACAGCTGCGAGCGCCTGCCAGAAGCGCGACAAAGCACAGCGGCCGTCCGAGCCGCACCGCCACCATCAGCCCCAAGCCCCGAGCCCCAGGTACAGCCCCGGAGTGGGCAGGGACCGACCCTTCCCCGGCCGGACACTGCGGGGACGGCCCTGGCTGCGGCTCCCGGGACGCGCTCCGGCTCCCGGGGCGGAGCCGCGGCTGAGCCGCGCCCGCGCATCCCGGCGGGCGTGCGCCCCCCCAGCCCAAACGCTCCTCGGGGGGTTCTTCTGTCGCTGTTTCTATTTAACGAACATCCCCAACGTTTACCCCTCCTCCTCTTTCTGTCACAGCTCCGGAAAACGCCAGCCGTGCCACTTCCCCTCCCGATCGGGAGCAGCGCGCCAGCGACCGCCGTCCAGTCCCGCTGCCGCGCCCCGGGGCGCTCGGGGCAGCCAGGGCGCAGCCCCGGCCGCGCTCCGGGACGAGGCCTGGGTCGGCCCAGCGGAGTTGCGGCGACAGCCGCCAGGCAGAGCGGCTGCGAGGGGCGCAGAACCAGCGCTCCGCCGGCCCGGCCCGGCCCGCACCCCGCGGGCGCTACTCACAGGAGCCGCGGACAAGCAGCAGCAGCAGCGCGCAGAGAGCGCAGGACGCGCGGCGCAGGGGCCGCATGGCCGCGGAGGCGCCGCCGGAGCTCGCCGGGCGCGGTCTGCGCGCTGCCGGGCGAGGGGCGGGCCGGGGCGGGGCTGCGCGCCGGGATGGGCGCGGCGAGGTGCGCTCCTCTCTCGCTTCTCCCAGCGTTTTCCGGCAGGCTGAGCGCCTGTGGGTCAGCGCCGAGCTCCGGGAGCGCCGCCTGCGAACAGCGCTCACGGCTGGTGATGCCAGGCTGTTCTCCAAATGCCATTCAACATCTGCCAGCAGAGCCTCAACTGCGTGGATTTATCTTCCTTGTTAGTATTATCCGCCTAACCAACACCTGGGTTCACTGCGCCCTCCCGAGTGCCTGAAATTTCCCGATACGCTTGGAAAATTGTGTAACCCACTACAAAGGCGATAGGGAAAAGTGAAAAGGAATAACTGTGTTCAGTTCTTTCAAAATTTTCCTGAGAACCTCTAACATAAAAGTGGTGTCGTGAATTTGTTTTTCAAAGGGAATTCGTTACTATGTTCTTAAGAATGAAAACGACTTGAAAAATATTTATCAGAGGAAAGAACTATTTTTCATGTGAATAATTAAGGATCAGTAGCAAAGCCACAGTAGAATACTTCGCATGTACTACTACACTTATGTTCAACGAAGCACAACGATGTTCCCATGTTAAACCACATATCTGAGCCAGGGAGGGTGAATTGCCTCACCTGAGAGCTCACAGGCAGGTTGTGAAGCTGTACTCTGGGAGCTCACTTCCCCCCAGGCAGACATGCATTTACTCTGTAAGTCTCAGCAAGTGAGTGGTGAATTAGAATGGTGGATAGATATTTTATTCTTTTTTAATTCTAGCCTAATGAGGTCCTTCAGTCTGCATTCAGTAAAAGTAGCTGCATGCTTTGTACTTCCAGCATTCTCTTATGCCTTTGTTCTGCAGAGCTTCCTGTGTGGTTTTCATCACTAAGGTACCCAAGGATCAGTATGCACCTTTTTACTGTGAATTTTCTGAGATGATCCTCCAAAGCTTTTCTTTATGATGGCTGTAGGACTCCAGCTGTATTTCCAGCTACCCTAATTCCAGAAAAGCTTAGAAATACTAGTAATCCATATGTAACTAAGTGTAAGAGCCTCTGGTTACAGAGGCAAAACTTAGAGTGAGAAAAACAATGGTAATTTATTAAATTAACGTGCATTTAGAGGATAAATCTATATAAGATATATATGTATCTTTAACATATCGACATCTTTCAGCTCTTGCACAACTCCAGTGATCATCAGACTTAACCAGAGTGGAAACTTGGTGTATCTGCAGGAAAAGAGCAGTTAAGATTGATGGAACAAAGAGCAGTTCATGGGATTGTGGGAGATGGGAGTGTAGCTAACCTAGAAGTGATGAGTTAGCAGGCACTGAGGCACAGTTGCACAATTGCACAGGATCTTTGCTGTGTAAAGGCAGAGATGCTGGAAATTCTTGTGTTGATTGCTTTGTGTGGTCTTGTTTCATTTTGGTGTTTGTTCTGTGGGAGGTGAATTTCTGGCAAATTGTTATGGTAGCAGAAAGTTGTTCCTACACTGAGAAGGAAACATTCTGGGAAAACTTATTTGGTACATGGTGTAAATAATGATTTCTCATATAGATTACCACATAAATATAAGATTGGTGAGAAGACTCTTTCTTCCCCCCCCAATTTTATATAATATCCAGTGGCAGGTAGCAGTGAGAATGGGTGCTGAGGGTAACCACAGGAGCTCACCTGGTGCAGTTCCACAGAAGCTGAGCAGGGCAGGATGCTGATAGTGAGAGGGTCCAACAGCAGTCCCAGTCAAGGTGATGAGCCTGATCCTGGGAGCCCAGTTGGGAAAGAACAGCAGGAGAGGACTTAGAAACAAGGCTATGTCATAAGTCTAATGTCACTCCAGGGGATATGTTATAAGACTACCACCTTTGTCAGTCTGGAGTCCCTTTAGCAAAACCAGTCTCTAAGTCAGGACAGCTGGGAATAGGCACAGCTGTAGTGCAGCTCAGGCAAGAGCTGAAATAGAGCTGCTGTGTGAATGAGCATAGACATGTACATGGAGGTCACAGGTGAGGTTGATCAGGGCTTGTTATTACCAGTTTAGGCTTGCCAGAGCACTCAGAGCCCTGACAGGCACTGCCTGAAGGCAGTTCTTTCAGAGCTACAATTTGACCTCTTAGAGGAATGTCCTTGATTGGTAAGAGTTGTTCTTGTGTTACTGAGGTAGGTGTGTAACTGCTAGGACATTCATAAAAGGATTATAAATTAAAGCCTCACAACAGAATTGTCAACAACCTGAACATCCTAAACATAAACATCTCAGATCCATTTTATCCATGAGATGATAAACTGGCTTTGGGGAGATGGTGAAGGTGAAACAAAACAGGTCCAGCATAGGGTTAACTCACAAGGACGATCAGTGAAAAACCAGAAACACCAAGCTTGAAGAAGGAAAACTATTTTTATTCACATGTGAAACCTGGTCATCAGAAAAGACCTACAAAGGCAAACCTGGGAACCGAAAATACCAATTCTAGTCAGTATTCAAAACTGTGGACTCAGTATTTGATCAGTAAAAGTTTTATGAGCACTGTAGTTTTCTGTGCATCCCATCAGCTAGTAAGCCATTGTGCCATGAAAGTTCACTGTCATCTGTCATCTCTCCTAGCTGACATACTTGATGAGCTGTCTTACTCTCTTAAGGAATGTTAATTTAAGTTACAACCAGAGCAGTCACTCCCAGGTTGTACTTGGCTTGATGTCTGCTCTGTATAGATCTCACTTTTAAATTAGTTTTTATTCTCCACCCCAAAATGCCTTATTCCAGACATAATAGATGGCACCTTGCTTCACGTCCCATGTAATTTTTTTATTATTAGATGTTGGAGTTAGAGCAACACTGCTAGCTTAGAGAAAAGTATTTCAAGCAGGAAAAGACAGGAACATGCAACAGGTTTTGCAGAAATACTAGCAAGGGCAGCTTTAATCCTTGCTTCATGGCCACACAAAGTTAGCACTTGAGCTTTGTAGAGGGGGAGATAAGAACACAGGTTGATCAAAGAGTCAATCTCCTTAAAACAGACCATTAGCAAATCTGGGTTTCCTCATGCAATGTTGGTTGTTTTGTTTTTTTTTTTCAAGTAAGGAATTAAGTTCTAAATTATATTGACATAACCAAGATTAGCCATATTTTTTTAAGAAGTAGTGGCCACATCAAGCATCAGCACCTTACAGTGTCCACTGTTAAAACTATCCTGATTTGCTTCTCAATCTGTTGGTTTGCCTTTGCATTATTACAATTTCATCAGCTCAAAAGAGCCTGAGCCCTAATTCTGGCCTTTGCAGGTTATGCATGACTGCTGCTGTTGCAAGGAGTATTTAGCTCTCTTGTACTGGAGCTGAGGCTGGCTTGTGCTCACTGAGTTTTTTTTAATTTTTGGTTTCTTCTCTTGTGTTTGGGAAGGAGGAGGATCCTAGTGCTCTCCATTACTCATTCATCCATGCCTGTTGTGAACATATTGCTGTGTTAATTTTTGTGAAAAAAATGAGACCTAATCTGACCTCATTGCAAACTTACTAGAAAATTAATGACATCAAGGCCATTTACTGAGGGAAAAAAAATCAAAAAATTAGACAGAAAGTGGTTTCAAAGGGACTAGAAGAATCTGCAAAAGACAATTCAATAAAAATTGTGCTTCCTTTATATTTCTGTTTCTAGTATATTCTGGAAAATACTTGTCCTTTTTTCCCCAACCAAATATTGTGTTGATTTTGGGGAGGATTCCTACTTTTCATTTCTTGAGAAAACACACAGATTGAGGAAACAGTAGATATAATAAGAAAATTTGTTTGTTATTATTATAAGAACTAATAACAAAGTAATATTAAATTATGATTATGTTATTTAAAAATAAGTGGGGCAAGCAGATTTTGCTGATGCTGTCAGAGTCCAGAAGAGCTGGATAATGCAAATGGGTACACTGCACTGACAGGGTGGCCAGGTAAACTCTTTGCTTTGGATGGATGCTCTTAGTGGAATATGATGAAGTCTTGCTGCTACTGCTTCTAGCCTCCATTTGCACTGATCCTGATAACAAAAATCCTGAACCCAGTCTGATTAGGTCTGGTGCAATTGCTAAGCTTACTGGGAGCTGTAGTATGTGTCATCTCATAGGCTGGCATGCCCTTGCAACTAAAAAAGTTCAGAGTGTGGTTTGGAAACGTGACTAATATTTATCTGACAGATCTTTTTGCATCAGTCCTAATGTTTTATCTCTTTTCTCAACATTTTGAGTGACATGAGGGTGTCACACTTGACTTTGAAGAACATGATTTTTATGCACTTCTTTTCTATGCAGTGACATTTCTGGGAGAGATGTGCCTTGAAAAATCATAGCAGAGGGCAAGGAAAGAAAACAAGAGATGATTTAATTTCCAGTGTAAGTCTGTGAGTCTCCTTTAGACCATATTCTCTTTCTTTGCCTTAGGTGCATTGTATTATCTGATTAGCGGCCTCTTTTATTCAAATATTTCTGTTATTCTTTTTATTCAAATAAAAATTAAAATAATTATAGAAAGATGGCAAATAAGATTCAACTAAGCAGGAATTAAAAGAGTGCTGTGCCAGCTCTCATTACATAATCTGCTGCAGAGACACCTGAATCATAAAAAATTGTCTGACATGCCATGTCAAAACGTAGATTGACTTTGGGAAGTTGTCAATATATTTTATAAAATATCAGTATTGTATTTTTGTCACGGACTTAGATTTATGAGTTTCTGAGAATTCAAAGAGGGTTAAAATCAATATAATGAAATATTGGAGGAAAGCGATTTAACTGTTTAATAAAGTCTGCCCTGGATTTCATGCACTATATGGATATATTGCAATTAATAAATCCAGAATAGCAGCCATATGCATCTTCAGATGAATCTCTAGGGAATTTCATGCCCAGTGGTGTTTTCTAGGAGAAAAAAATGTAAGACAGTGAAATGTTTTCCTGTAACAGCCTTAGGTGAATACCTGCAGAGACAGAGAAGAAAACATCCCAGCTGTGGACTTGAAATGAAATGACCCTGTCCTGAGGTCTGCATGGAGCCCACGTGCCACAGGTTGAATTCTGCCTCCTGCCTCATCCCACTGATCCAAAGACATGGCTCATGGCCCTTGCCACAGCCACTACCAACATTCTGCCCGCTGTGACCCAGCCTCCTCAGCACTGGGGGAGCCAGGGCTGA